ATACACACACACACACACACACACACACATATATATATATATATATATATTATTATATATACATTATACACACACACACACACACACACACAAACACACACACACACATATATATATATATATGGTTAACACTATGCTTGTATCTCCATACCAGGCATTCCTGGGCAATGCGATTGCCGTGACTTTGCATTACCTGGGCGTGGGCCCTGGAGCGTGTCTGTGGGCATACACAGTCATCTGCGTTTCACTGACTCGACTAGGCTTTAGTATCATCTACGAGGTAAGTTTACAACTGGTTCTTAGCTGAATTGTCATGCTGGATGTGTTCATATATGCATGTGCACTGTCAGTGTCTGACTAAGCTCGGCTTCCGTATCATTTATGAGGTGAATTACAGTTACACTTAGTACGAAGATGCGCCATCGCACGCACGGTTTGATAATATTATATACCTGACACTGACACTCCTGTTGCCAACGTCTACCAGATCACCTCCGGCATGGAAAATACCAAGCACAACAACCTACACGATGTGATTGCATACTACGCTCTCCCGAAGGCTATCATGGTAGTGATGTGTGTAAGCAGCCTTGTACGGCTGGCTTATCTGCTGATTATGAGGCGTAAGCGAGTACCCAGACGCAGTAGTAGTCTGCATAGAAGTTACCAGAAGGAGAAGGATCTGTGAATGTGGGTTGGACGCCCCTACTGCGCGCGTCTGCATGGAATCAATTTAGGAAGTCTGTATAAAGAAACTATGTATAAAAACTTATTGTAGGATTAACCTGCACTCTCTCGTCTAGGTCAATTTACTTTGTCAATAGGGAGGATTCATGCGTGTCTTGAACTTATTTTGATCATCGCGAGTATACCGTCAGACAGCGGCAAGGGGCAATGTGTTGCTGTTGGCCCTAGCTCCAATTCGGATATGACCGTTTTGTGTCCGGGATCGTTGCATTATGAAGCCAATTTATATATTTAGCTACCAGCGTCACGAAATCGGGAATTTATCCGACTTTTCTGAAATATACTGTCAGCAGCATTCTAATTCACCGGACACAGCCATCATGTACGGGCCAGGTCAGATATCTCGAGAAGTGGGCATGGGCATATGTACAATACTACATTCATCAGTTGGCAATTGCTTCTGTACTATATAATCGTGACGATTTGTGGCTGAAACACCCCCTCTCTTCAAATCATTCGCCCATCAAATGCGTAGTAGGGCTGTCTCATAAAACTATGCATTGTTTACGTAAACCAGCTGGAGATAGCAGGACGATCACTATGTAGGGCAATAAGTACGTTTTGGATGCTCGGATGATGAGGCATAGACATAACCGATGTCAACAATCTGTAGTGAATCTTCAGATGTGCTAGTAGTATTATCAAGTGCACGGACCAACAAAACATGTCCAGATGATACACATAAAGCGCACTCTACATGATTAACTATATGTAGGTATCTGGTGTGCAGTTTGAAGGGGTATATTAAGGATTAGTGCTCGACTCTACCTCGAAGGTTTCTGCTCTGTCGTAACAACCATACTTTCGCCGTGCATTTGATTTAAAAGAAGTCCAAGCAAAAAATCTATGTCCAAGAACACGGATGCACGTGTATGCTACATGTCTAAATTTTATTTAGGTTTTAGTTCTACAGCTTAATGGTTTATGCTAAAACCTATTAATACCCTAGTGAGCCACTTACGAACTGTTCCTTCCAGCGAGAGTCATATCTTCGCTGTGCATTCTCAACAAGTCCAAGCACTGGACCAGTAATCACAAAACCAACCAAACCCTATCCTTGGATGTCAGCGTGGAAATGTGCATTCGGAAGCTCCTACAGGTTCGTGGCGAGCCTCGGGTATTTGCTCTCTCAATGTCTTAATGTACTGCACTCACGGATGCGGAAGAACATCCCAAATTACAACTGTGACACTCTCCGAAGCGTTCGCATACTTTCTTATGTATCGCATCGGCGTGTGCGCCCAGAGAGTACACCCTGGTGACGGCGATTGACAATATGCCTATACAGAGGAAACCGATTGACATCTATGTATATTTATATATCACGAAAGTCTCTCTTCTCGTTTCCGCATGAAGTACATCTTAGACCCCTCGTAAGTGCCAATCATGATGGCACAGGCGGGTGCGACCTTTACGATCCGAGGCAAAAGACCTGGAAAGACAAGGCATGAAGAAATGATGTCAGGCAGGCCAGCTAAATTCACAAGAAGTTTGACACGCACGCCAGGTTCTTGGCGACAAGAACATCACGACGGTATTATTCCGATGGAATGACTGCTGGTCGACAAATAAGTATAATTACAATACATATAGACACACATAGCTGTGTGTGCCAAGCACAGAGTAGGTGTATGTGATTGCGCATACTAACCACAATACACACTCAGACACCACAGTTTTCGAAGAAAATCAAATAATCCTTAAAACGGAGAAAACGGCGGCATGCTTGATAAATAAATTGAACAAAGGCCGAACCTTGTTGGCTACAAACACAACTGCTAGTACATAACTCACCACCACGAAGCAAACTATGTAAAGGGGAATGTGTGTTTGTATATAGGGAAATAGAAATTTAAGTCAAGACCACACGCAATATATCTTTGTATGAATCTGTAACTATTTAATGCTTCATGAATCGTGAGGAATATATATGGTAACCTACAAGTTCGAGAAAAAAATGCACGAATACATGTGAAGAGGCTAGTTAAATGCACGAGATTGCACACATATATACATGCAAATACCGACATATATAGTCTAGATACAAATGAAGATTCTAGTATGACTGAAATGTGAAAGGATCAAACCAGAGCGTACAAAGAACTTGAATATACACACATTTGAACACATGAAATAAATGTACATACCTCTATGAATTTGTCATGCAAAAAGATCTATTTATATAGATATAATATATACATACATACATACATGCACACACACACACATATATATATATAATAAAAAAAAGTAAAAGAATAACTGTAAAATAAATAAATATATGCATGTTTCCCCAAATGTGTACTTATACTTAAATCCAATAGAAAGACCATGCCTACTAATATGATCATCACTTTGCAGTATATTTATAAAATTACTACATCTATAATTCGTGGGCAGGTATCCGCACAAATACAACAGTAAATACATACACATATATGTGGCTTAACAAAATAACACACGAACATACATCCAATATACATACATATATAAATTTACATGAATATATATATATATATGTATAAATACACACACACACATATATATATATACATACATATACATATATATAGATATATATATATAAATATATATAAATATATATATAAACACAAACACGTATATATATACATATATATAAATAAACAAGATATACATATATATATACATATATATACATAAATGCACAAAAACATATATACATGCATATATAGTATATATATATATGTATGGACACAAAACAAAAACAAAAACAAAAGGAAATAAAGAGAGAAAGACGTAAATTTAAAAATAAACACGAATGTATACAAATATCCGAACCTATAAATATATAATTATATATATATATACAAATATATATAGATATAAATATCTAGATAAAGAGAGATATATATACATATACATAAATTCAGATACATTCAGATATATATATATATATATATATGTATGTATATAAAGTTCAATTTAAATCAAAATATAAATAAGAGAAAAACAGACGG